GGTGGTGGTGGTGGTGGTGGTGCTTGCGGTGGTGCTTGCGGATGTACACCACCTGGGGAGGTGGCTGCACGTACGAGGGCTGGCTGTGGAGCACGATCACCTTGGGGCGGCGGTGAAGACCGAAGAACCTTAGGGGACGGAAAGCAAGTCGGCGGACGTGAAAATGCGCGGCGTCGGATGTCAGGTCAGACTCAAGGAGTCAATAGATAGTAGATAGTGTGCGGAGCCCACTGTAAATCTGCATGCCTAAGCACGGTGATGAACCGCTGAGCTGTGCACGTTTACCAAACAGACGCTTTGCGAATTGCGAGGTATTCGGATGCTCTGTAACTAAGAAGCATTACTTTGCACTTTACAAAGCCTAATTTGCAATTGCGAAGCAATGCTTTACAATTTGCTGTGAAGCATATCTGGGTAATTGCAAATGTAAAGGCTTCGTAGTTACAAAGCATCTGTGTCATTGGATTTCCAGTATACATACGTATGAAAACATAAAGACAGACTAAACAGTAAATTTCTTACGAACAGGTTCGTAATGCAAACCAAAACCCTCGTTAGCTCACGAAGGATTTTGAAGCGTTTATTACGAACTAATTCTTTGTAAGCTTACGAACAAATGGTTCGATTGTTCGTAAGAACCTTCCTGGCGTTACAAACAAATGATTTGCAGTGAAAAAAATCTCTTTGCAATACAAAGAATGGGAATTGTTCGTAATGTTTCAAAGCATAAGCATATTACAGTGTACCGAATAGGCCCCGTAATATTTTGGCTTATTACCGCATGCATTGTAGGCAAGCGGGGAAGGGCAACCAACCCACAAGGTTGAATTAGCAATAGAATAACCACAAAATTAGTACGGGGCCTATGGAACACCCAGTGAAGAAAATAATAATTTACCTTTTAGGACGGACAAGAGAGGCCTCGATCTGGGATTTAGCGCCGTGCGAACCACCGAGCGAACTGACACGAACGGTATAAGGCTCACGACGAGCACGAAGCAGGTGATTCTTGCCGTCAATGACGTCGTAGGATTGAATTCCACTGAAAGATGATAATATGATCGAAGAATAACAGTAATGCTTAATCACGGTCATAGAGGCAGATGGCATGCCATCTGCAGATCTGGTTCGTTCGTGTGTCACTGATCAGGACCCGAGAGAGAATTATTCGGTACGGGAGATATTGCGCAGGACCCTTAAGTAAGGAAATTAAGATGTAACGAAAAGACAATCCAATTCGAGTCACGTCACGTTCACCCCACGTTCACGTCACATTCCTTCATATGTGAAAAAAGTCATATTCTTGTAAATGTTAATGTCACATTATTTTTCATGTGACTTAAGAATTTCTAATCCTGGCCCGGCTATGAGTCAAGTTGAAACGAATGTGACAGCATGATTAAACCAATGTGACCAGTTTCTGCATGCACTGATAAACTAAGTGTTCAACTGCTCAACACTTGTAAGTGTGCAACTGCAAGTTGAATACTTGCGAGTGTGCAACTTTGTAATCGTACACTTGCAAGTGTTCAACTCAGGAGGTGTGCAACTCCTTATTTGAACACTTGCTTAGATTGGACGATTAATGTGTAGGAAGTGCTCAACCGAGGAGTTGCACACTTGCAAGTGCACACCTACCAAGTTGCACACTTGCAAATGCACACCTACCGAGTTGCACACTTGCAAGTATTCAACTTGCAGTTGCACACTTAAAAGTGTTGAGCAGTTGAACACAGTGTGTTAATCAATATGACGACACATGAACTCAATTAGGAGAAGTTAGAAAACCTCACGCATCAATCACAACTCACGTATTAGGTTTAGCGGGCTCGGCAGCCGCCAGCCCGGCGAAGATCGCAACCTGCAAAGCAACAAAAGAGCAAATTTGAGTTACCGCTGAACAACCAACTTCGGCTGTGGTGCGTGACACCACGGCACCGGCCCAACCAACCAGCGGACCGTGGTGGGCGCGGCAGGCCGCAAACCACAGCGCGCTGATGAGAGGCGGGCCGGGCCAGGCCGGCCACAGGCAGAGGAGCGGAATTAATAGCAAATGCGAGTACTGATTGGAACTCAGGATAACTTTATAGACTCGCGCGGAAAAGTGAAGTAAGTTTTTAAAAAAACTGCAATAGGACATGAATTATTTCGGTATTAGACCGTGTGTGCGCTGCGCGCATTGAATAAAGTCAAAATTACTCACGGCCAGTGCCGCTAGAACAGTCTTGAAGGCCATCTTGGAGCAGGACTGTCTAGCTCGGGACGGTGAAGCGCTGTCTTATAATGCCACGGGCAGGTGGCTACGCTCGTAAAACAGGGAAACTCCTCGACTACGCTCGCCCCCCCCCCCTTCCCCCTCTCTGCCTCAGTCATGTCCCTCAACCCAAATTTTTCCCCTTCTGGTAATTTTCGCCTGTCTCCCTCACACCCGCTCTATCTCTTCCTGCAGCATGATTCGGGGACACGACGATCCGGCTCTCCTACGCTCCCCAGCACAGCACCGGGCTCTTTTCCCCCCGGGTCGGTCGGCCCCGCCTGCCAGTTTCCGGTCTTTTCTTTTTCTTCCAACACTCTTCTCCTTTTTCGTCGACGGGGTAAGGAGATTTGCCTTCCGGCAGGTTATTTGTGAATAAGCCAATTAAGGCGACACCTTGCGGGGGTGTCACTGCCCCCGTCCCCCAACCTCTCTCGACGTTAATGCCCTCGGCTCAATTTCCAGCAACCCCCACCCTTCCAACCCTCGTCCCCGCACCAGGTGGACGACGCGGTGAGTCAGAGAAAAATGCCCCTTCCCCCTCTTCTTTTTTTTCCCCTCCCTCCTCGGCAGTGTACTTCGTCATACTTTTTTTTACACCGCCAGTCAGCGCGGCCGCGTCAGGCCCGCGGGTCGTGCGCCCGATTACAGGCCGTGCAGGGCGTTCACGACTTTCGGGAGCGAATGGGGCGCCAGCGAATGCGAACAAGAGCCTCGTGCATCACCACCGGCCGTGCGCTTTTGTCGCGCGAAGAACAGGTGTGTTCGAAAAGAGAAGGGGGAGGGAGAGAGAAAGAGAGGGGGGCAGAAACAAACAAGCAGTCATTCCCAGTTACGGGAAACGTAGAAAACAAGACGCGAAACGCAAAAGATAAGGGGGACGCACAACACCCAAAATAGTCGTCAAATGCCTGAAGTTAGTTTCCAGGATTATACTCTCGATACACAGTTCAATCTCCCGAAAGCGATGAGACTTTTCTTGATACAGCGAGATGGGGAGAGTGGCATCTTTCAGCTACTCGGCATCTTTTTGATCGTCAGGTTTAACTTTTCGGGGGCCATTGGCCCGCGTGTCAGGAATGCCCAACAGCCAGGCAGACGGTCGACAGCTGACACGCCCCCC